CGGGGACACGGCACGGGTGACACGGGGACACCGCCAGGGGTGACACCCACTCGGGGGTGACACAGCCCCAGGTGTAACAGCGCCCCAGGTGTGACACAGCCCCAGGTGTGACAGTCCCAGGTGTGACAGCCCCCCACGTGTGACAGCCCCAGGTGTGACAGTGCCCCAGGTGTGACAGTCCCTCAGGTGTGACAGTGCCCCAGGTGTGACAGTCCCCCAGGTGTGACTCAGCCCCAGGTGTGACAGTCCCTCAGGTGTGACAGTCCCAGGTGTGACAGTCCCCCAGGTGTGACTCAGCCCCAGGTGTGACAGTCCCTCAGGTGTGACAGTCCCAGGTGTGACAGTCCCAGGTGTGACAGTCCCCCAGGTGTGGCCGTACCTGAGCAGCAGCAGCAGCAGCAGCGCCACCACCAGCGCGACAAGGGACAGGGAATATCCCACGGTGTAGAGGAGGCGGAACTGCTCCAGGAGCCACGCCTGGCGCTGCGGGGACATTGGGGGGACACGGGGGACAGGGGGACAGCAGGGGACAGCAGGGGACAGGGGACACGGCACACAGGACACGGCGGGGGACACGGCACGGCACAGGGGACACGGGGTGTGACACACGTGCCAGCGCAGCGTGGTGTCGCGCGGTGTCGCGCGGTGTCACACGGAGCGCAGTGTGACACGCGCGGCGCGACACGGGGGGCGCAGCGTGACAAGGGAGCGCGACACGCGGCACGTGGCATCTGCCAGCGTGGTGGCACCCCCGCGGTGTCGCCCCGCTGTGTCCCCCCCGCTGTCGCCGGCGGCGTCACCGCCCTGCGCCACCCGCCCCGCGCTGTCCCCTCCGATCCCCGCCGTGTCCCCGCTCTGTCCCCCCTCTGTCCCCGTTCTGTCCCCCCTCTGTCCCCCACTCTGTCACTCCTCTATCCCCGCTCTGTCCCTTCCCAATTCCCGCCGTGTCCCTTTTCTGTCCCCTCCTCTGTCCCCCACTCTGTCCCCGTTCTGTCCCCACTCTGTCCCCGTTCTGTCCCCCCTCTGTGTTCCCGCGCTGTCCCCTCCAATCCCCGCCGTGTCCCCTCTCTTTCCCCCGCTCTGTCCCCGCTTTGTCCCCTCTCTGTCCCCTCCTCTGTCCCCACCTGCAGCGGCTGCACCTGCGCCAGGTCCTCGCACTGGGAGTTGTCCTGCCAGGTCCTGCCGCTGTCATCTGTCACCCAGCGCCCGTCGGGGCCGCAGCGCCGCGCCACCACCCCGTGCTGCACTGTGACACCGCCGTCACCCGCTGTCACCCGCTGTCCCCCCCGGGAGCCCCCCGGGTGTCGCCGTTACCTCGGTGGTACCAGGGCAGGTACCAGGGGCAGGGGACAGTGGCGGTGCTGTTGGGGACAGCGTCCCCCCAGCACGCGTACAGGTCGAAGCTGCGGTTGCAGACGGGTCCTGGG